TCAAAGTTGATTTACAATAAATACATCTACATTGTCCTTTCTCATTATTGCAGTTTCCTTACATAACCACCACTCCATACCTCCAGGTAAAAACAGACTATGAGAAAAAGTTAATAAAGACCAAAGAATAATGAACAAACACTGTGAGTGGAATAACTCCAGATGCTCAGAGAGATGACAATGATCTCACTCTAATGAGCTGAGGTGAGCTCACCTACAGCATTAATGAATGCCTGACTACTGGCAAAGGCCAGCTGATTTTCCTCACAGTTCACCAGCAGCATGTTTGAAGTCTCCCTGCAAACAATACACCCACAGGACAGACCCAGGCCCTCTACAGAGGGTAACCGGCAATTACTCTGTGGGCTTCTGTCACTTTGATCTTTGGGTCGTGACCTTTGCTTTCTTGTGATCTTCAAAGCCCAGATTGTAGATTAGCTGGAGAATGCTCGCTGGGTTATGTAAGCCACAAGTTTTACAGCTCCTATTCGGCTGGGAATTGGTGGCAGCCCAGGGAGGCCAGACAGTGGAGGGTCCCTCCCTCCTTCCCCATGGCTGAGTGCTACAGACGCTGGGCAGGCCCCAGGGCTACTTCATGCGAGGGAACAAAGAAAGGGTGTCACGTTTTAAATAATTAAACATGGCAAGGAACACAGAAGGGGCTACCAGGGAGGAAGGAGGAAGGCAAAGCCAACCAGAAACTGGAGTGGCGAGAGAGAATGAACAACAAAGGACTAGTGACTGAAGAAGAGCAGAGAGACCATGAGACCAACTTCCTTATGTGTCCAGACTTGTCTACTGTGGGCCATTGTTCTTTCTGCAGTAAGATGGAGGAAAAAGATTGCCAAAGGAACATAAGAAATATAACATTCTGAGCACCCAAGTTTCTCACACTAATTCATTACTCTGGCCAGTGTGGAAGTCTGCAAGGGGCCCAGCATGGTTTCTTAGCATGATGGTGGTCTCTCAGGCCAAGCCTTGCCTTGCCGCTCTCTTCCTGCCCAAATCCTGGAGGCTTCTGGTTATCACATTCGCCTCCATTCAACATTCATCCCAAAATAGCAGCACAGTGTATATACACACACAGCAAAGTTCAGACAGGTTTAAGCTCCTAAATAACATGGCAGTGGATATTTCTCAGCCATAAACTATGATGAATGGGAAAGAGAAACCCCAGGCATAGTTTCCCTCCTGCCCCAGCAGGGCCAGGGTGCTACTCAACAACTTGGTAGTATGTTCATGCTCACATACAAATTTAATGAGCCCGTTTTACTGTGGGGATGTGTGCCAAGAAAATCCAACTGGGTGCACAGGGGGTAAGTGAGGAAGCAAAAGGGATAGATGTGGGGGGAGGGTAGGAGAGAGTCTCAGAAACTCAAGCTCTGTGACGCCATTTCCAATAACTATATAAATCGAGTCACTTCCCATTTCTGGTCCAGTGGTTGGCCACAGCATGACCTAAAACTGGGCTGACCTCCTTGAAATCAACAACTCCCGTGGAAATGAAACAACAGACACACTTGTTTTGATGTATGGCTGGGTGACATATTATAAATATTACATCACATAACCACAGAGGATGCCAATCAATAAGAAATTTTTTTAGACAGCACTAAATGAACCATGGGTTCTTGCTTCTGAATACACTCCTTTAAGGCTCCTAGTATTGCTTAAATGATTAATAGAAGACATATTGTCAGAAAGTGTACTTAAAGTGAAAAACAGTAAACTGTAGAAATATCATTCATTTTTTAAGCAATTTTCTAGTGAAAATGTCACATAAATTTACATAGAGGCTTTACTATTAGGCTCCGGGTAACAGCTAGAAGGAAGGCAGACCTCATGCTTTGTGGATGAAGGGCCAGGAAAATATTTTACCAAAAAAGAAAAAAAAAAAAGTCAGCTACATTGCTTTGTATAAACACAAATGTCACAGGAACTCCAGATTCAAAAGTCGTATTGTGAAACCCCTAAAATTTCTCAAAGGCAAATGGAGCACAAACTCCAGGAAGAACAAAGCAGAGCTGCTTACAGACCATAGAATGGAACTGTATCATACGCATATTCATCTCTTCCAAATACAAGTGTGAATGCTTATCAAACCAACAATAAAAAATAAAATTAAATGAATAAAAAATTTGAATGTGCTGGAGAATCAGCCTACCATTCCACTCAGCATCGGATGCTGTGGAGTGAATGTGTAACTAGATGGGAGCACATTTACTGTTGTTCCCCTTGCTGTTCTTAGTTCCTATTTCTCTCAGAATGCAAGCATCTTGCCATCATTGTGAGTGGCTTATAAACTTTCTAAGGTAATATTGACTACGTATGATTTTGGCATTGTGTGGCCTCTAGAATCCAGTCCTTCATGGCAACTTTGCCATATGTGCATTAACAACTAGTCTTCCCAGCCCCATTCCTCAACTCCTTCCAGGGGAATAGACCTGGAGTGGGGAGAGCAGGCTTGGAGGGTGGCTAGGCTGGCCTATGAAATGGATTACTCTTGTAGAATGAAGTCCTCCCTAAAGAATCATGACCCACAACCTGCACTTGGATTAAGTCAGAATGATAATGTCTTGCTTGTTAACTGTATTTGTTGACATCCAAACAGATCTGACTCCAAATGGGCACTGGGCATCTGAAGTGCCCAGAGGTTTCTGTATCTCCCCGTAAGTACTCGGCTTCTGAGAGGGAAAGTTAGCTTCAAGCCACCTCCAGCAAACAGGTAATCAAGCCCCCTTTTCAAGTTAGAGAACAAATGAGAATTCCCCAGAGTTTAGTTTCCTAAAAATGTTTTTTGGAGCCGGGCTCAGTGGCTCAGCCTATAATCCCACACCATTGGGAGGCTGAGGTGAGTGGATTGCCTGAACCCGCGGGTTCGAGACCTGCCTGGGCAGCGAGACCTCATCTCTACAATAAATCAAAAAATCAGCCGGGCATGGTAGCGCATGCCTGTAATTCCGGCTACTCGGAAGGCTGAGGCGGAAGGATCCCTGAAGCCCAGCAGACGAGGCTGCGGTGGCCGAGAGCGGCCACTGCACTCCAGTCTGGGCGACAGAGTGAGACTCCAACTCAAAAAAAAAAAATGTTTTTGGGGGGCTGGCCATGGTGGCTCACATTTATAATCCCAGCACTTTGGGATGTCGAGGTGAGAGGATTGCCTGAACCCATGGGTTCTAGACTAGCCTGAGCAACTTGGTGAGAACTCATCTCTATAATAATAAAAAAATTAGCCAGGTGTAGTGGTGCGTGCCTGTAGTTCCAATTCTTGAAAGGCTGAGGCAGAAGGATCACCTGAGACCAGCAGGTCAAGGCTGCGGTGGCCGTGAGCATGCCACTGCATTCTAGCCTGGGCAACAGAGTGAGATTCCAACTCAAAAAAAAAATATTAGGAGAATTTTCTCAGACTTCGTTGACCCTTTCCAGACACATCATAAAATAGCTTGGCTGCAAGAAGATAAAATACGCCTTAAATGACTCCTTCACACCTGAAATCAGGCTGTTAAATGCTTCAAAGTTGATAAGAGTGTTAAAGAAGCAAATCAAGTGATTAAGTGATGAAACAACTTAAAGTGACGATTTAGTAGTTTGTAAGTATTCACCTGCTGAATTTTAAGCTTATTTCTTTTAGCAGAACTCATATTCAAATCTATAGCATTACATCCTAAATGAAAATCTTCATAATGAATAAGGATTCAACAATTTTTTAAAAAGTAGGATTAGAGTTGTCTTCTAAGATGGTTTAATAACAGTCTAAGACCCCTATAAAATTAAGCAAGAAACCTAGAAATCGAAGTCAAAGGTATAAAATTATCCCCAATAAAGAAGTACAACCAAAATCCTACTGTAGCCTAACGTGTGTGTGTGTTAATCTACAAAATTCAGTAGCCTTCAGTATTTCTAACAGCTTTGTCTTTATACAAAATGAATACCCCCCACTACTTTCCTTCATCAGTTACCACAGATTCTCATATGAGTCCCAACAGAACATGTTTCTCCCAAGCCATAATTTTTCCCCAACCCTTCCAAATCTGTTTTCCAGGTATTCTACCCACCTAGTATTTCCTTCTTCCTTCCTTCCCCTGTCTTCTCTTCCTTTCCTCTTTCCTTTCTCTCCCTTCCACCCACATTGATTCAGGTGGAGTGTTAATGAGAGCTTATATAATAATAGAGGGGCTACACATATGAAAAGGTCATTAAAACAGTTATAAAACAACAATCAAGAATGAGAGAACAAAGAATTTTAAATGAAGAAGGAGAATAAAACATGAGTTTAGTAAAACGGGTAAGATCAAGAAGATTCCTAAGAGAGGTGAGTTTGGATTAGAGGTTTCAAAGTTGATGGTTGAGAGGCAGAGAGAAGGAAAAGAAAAGAAAAAAAAAAAAAGCATTTCTACTTGGAGCCCATCAAAGCACATGGCTGGTAGACACTGAAGTATAGCTTATGGTGAAGAGATCCAGGACTTGTGGGACTTCCTCTTGGGACTGTATATGAGCTCCCTAAACTTTGGTGTGAAGTTGTTTCTCTCCAAAAAGTGACTCTGAGGCCGACTATAGAAAGATCTTACAACATAGAGCAGGGGTGAGCAAACTACATACAGTCCCATGGGGCAAATCTGGCTGGCTACTAGCTTTATAAATAAAGTTTATTGAAACATAGTCATGTCTATTCATTTACAAATTATTTACAGCTAATTCTGCATTACAACTGAGTTCAGTAACTGCAACAGAGTTCATATGACTTTCAAAGCCTAAAACACTTATTATTTGGCCCTTTATTTCAAAAAAGCTTGTCAACCCCTGACCTAAACCACTGAACAACTTTTCATTTTTTATGGTTTCTGTGACCTCAACAAAGGAAGACAATGATTCTAGGTTACCAAAAGGTGAAAGCCTACTGATAGCCACCAAACATCTATAATGCACCCCTCGTATAATATCATCCACCCAAGCTGCTATTTTTTCCTTCTTCCATCATGATCCAACCCGTGGACACTCACCTGTATCTCTTGTAGTCTTCCTCATCCTTTTCCAAGCTGACCAGCTCATTGGGACAGGCCACATTGCCCAGCAGACTGAGGTACTCCAAAGCTGGTGTCACTTCTGCCAAGTGATCCAGCAGACACTCCAAATCAGTGATGTGACAAAGGTTAAGGATCCTGATCCAGGAAGACAAAAGGCTTAGCCAGGAGCATAGGCCATAACTGACAGGCACAGCCTAACAGCTGATGATCCCAGTCTGCTCCTGTGAGACGACAGGGGGTAAAGAGTTGAAATCAAACATCTTCAGCTACGGGTGTATGGTTTTGCTAGTTTTTCACTCCTATGTTTGGGAATACAGCCCAACTCTTCCCTGGGCAGGTAAGGCTGAGCCCAGATTACTTGAGGGAGAATGAATGAACTTGATTATTTCATTATACTTTTCTTTATTCTACAATTCTGTATTTAAAAAATGATAAGAGGGTAGATTCTACATAGTAAAATTTTACCATCTTCAAGTAAATAAAACTTAATTTTTTCCTAATAATGAAGACAAGAAATTATTTCCAACGATCACATTAAAAATATATTCTTTCAGCTGGGCTTGGTGGCTCAGCCTGTAATCCCACACCTTTGGGAGGCTGAGGTGAGTGGATTGCCTGAGCCCACGGGTTCTAGACCCCCCTGGGCAGCGAGACCTCATCTCTACAATAAATCAAAAAATCAGCCGGGCGTGGTAGTGCATGTCTGTAATTCCGGCTACTCGGAAGGCTGAGGCGGAAGGATCGCCGGAGCCCAGCAGGCAAGGTTGCGGTGTCCAGGAGCGGCCACTGCATTCCAGTCTGGGCGACAGAATGAGACTCCACTAAAAAAAAAAAAAAAAAAAAAAAATATATATATATATATATATTCTTTCTCTCTTAGTGTGGAAATGTATCATTGAAATATATGGGAGTGGCATGGATGCAAACAGGACTGACCCCTCTTCTGATCTGGTGGCATAAAGCAATGGGTTGGGGGAAAGGGACAACAAGGCTAGAAGGAAAAGACAACAGAAGTTAAGTTAGGATAAATTTAGTTAAACCAGGCAGGTCAAAATACATTTTCTGAGACTCTATTGTGAATCTAATACTCTATGAAGGAGATAATGAAAGAGAAAAGACAGAGGAGGGACACAGCAGTGAGGTTATTCTAGGAGCTGTCCCCCAGTGGGATCCACTGTCCATCGGCAATCAAATAAGGCAAGAACCAGAAATTCATGAAATGACAGATATTAGAAAGAATTTAATGACAACTTATATCAACTCCTGGCTCAAGCCATATAGAGATGAGTTGAGTCTAGGCAAGGTGATAATTAGATAGGCCCTGATTTCCAGAGGCATATGGGAGAAGAGCTGGACAATTCAGCGTACCAAATGGGCCCCTTGGCAGGGAATGGCAGCAGAATACACAGGGCTGAAACGAGTAAGGGCACGCCGTAGACAAGAGTCCTAGATACTCAGAGTATAGTTTCCAGGAGTGGGGCCCACTTGCACCAAAGAAAAGGGCTGTTGCTGCTCTGGCAGGATGTTATCCAACCTTGGGATGATATACAGATTTCTCAAATTTAATTGCAATTTGCCAGAGAAGAATGAACTCCAAATTCAACCAACATCTGAATCCAGTCTCTAACATATTTGCCAAGGGTCACCACAACAGAGCACATTCCATTTCTGACAACCACAATCGTTTCTCTTTCCCTTGGGATTGAATCTTCTTCTAACTTCTATCCAATGACCCAATTTAACGGCTTGGGGTCACAAAGAATAAAACATTCTTCTCTTCCACATGATGAGCCTGCAGATATTTGAAGCTCATGTGCCTTTCTTAAATCTTTTATTTCTCAAACTAAGTTTCTTCAAGCATTCTTTGTCTGCATGATCTGTTGCCACCATCTACAAGACTAAATACTGTACTCTGGGTAGAAGCAGGAGGGAGACAAGAAGCAGAGCACAAGCAAAAAAGAGGGAAAACTAGCAAAAGAGTGGCGTGAGCATACTCATCCACTGCTGGCTTCAATTTGCCAATATCCTCCCCATTTCCTAAACAAAGACAGAAAACATGAATATGGAAGTTTCTTATCATTCACAGATAACATCCCAGGATGACCACAAGGAACACTAATATGAAGAGGATGGGAATGAGAGTTCATGTAGCAGGCCAGAGAGATAATCCCACCAGGGGGATAAGGTTGGAAGTATGGGGGGTGGTTGGCCAGGAATCCGACATTAACCTATTTCATCACCGAAGATAAAACACACTACTTCTTCAAGTTCAATCATCATATTCAAGAAAATGCTTTAAATATAATCAATGACAGTAACCAACTCTAGGGAAAATGCGACTTTTCCAGTAGGTTCTATCTGCAGATGCTTCATATCAAAAAAAGAAAAAAAGAAAAATAAAAAAGAGTCCTGTCAGTACTGCCCTTAGATATGGGCAGAGGCACTTCCAGGGGCCCTGTGCTTTGAACTGCCTTCCTCAAAACTTTCTAAGTGTCCATCCAGTACCCAGGACTACCCAGGCCATCAGTATCAGTCAGGTGAAGTACACCAGGCTTGGAATTGAACCTGCATAGACCTCAGACCCAGGCCTGGTTTGTTCCCTTCAGGGTTCACTCTAATCCTCTACCCCACCCATGGGACCTATCAGATGCTCCAAGGAGCACTAGGACTTCTGCCTATCCCAGGTTGTCCTGCAGTCTTGAGGCTAGGCCCTCCTTCCAGGGGGGGCTACCAGACACACTGATCACTCCTTCTGGCCAGCAGAGTATTTCTTTGTGTGTGTATGGGACTGCAAGAGAATGGGGTGCCAATGGTGCTGAAATACTGATTTGGAATATTTCCAATTATTTATGTAGACAAGGGCCCCAGATGATGTAGGGAAAGTCCTCTCTACTATGCATGGAAAAGCTGGAACTAAACCTATTTTTCTCTTAGGAAAAATTCCTTGAACCTTGGCTCCTTTTCATCTACTACATGAAGGTGGGAATATGCAGAAAGAGAACTCAAAACCGGCAAGATCTTTATGTTGAAGAAACATTGGGCAACCTCGATGGACTGAGTTTCCAGTCATTTCTCAACACTTAGTGATGACTGAAGGAAGTCTAGCACGCCATCACCCAGGGAAGCAAGCCCAGTTTAATTGGAGTAAATCTTCACATGTAGATTTACCATGAAGCTAATAATGCTGAGGTGTGAGGGGCTCCTTGTTTGCACAGCCTCCTTCTAAGACCCTGGGAAAGGCTCTAGTAATAGGAACATGGCCATGTATTTTTGTAAAATTTGCAAAAGTAGGTCATTTAAACCATAATCAGTTAAGATCGCTCTCTCTCATCACTGTCTTCTTCCATCATATTTCCCTTTGAGTTGGGTGACAATGGGAGTAGCTATGGGAATCCTGAGGACCTAGCTAAGGGGAACTTATGTTCATTTACTCATGATTCACTTGGTTCTATCTGTATGGTGTGCAATCATTTCTGTGTCTGCTTAAATTATTTTAATAGTACCAGTAAGAATGGCTTGTAGTAATATGCCCACTATCTACTATGATGACACAAATATACAGAGACCAATACAAACTGATGATAAAATGATTAATGAACTCATCAATTCAAAGAGTATTTAAGATACAGTTACTGAGTGTATGCACATGTACACACACATACATGCACACACAACTAACTCGAAATGTCCTAAAGTCTTATATAGCTCATATGTCAAAGAAATGTGTAAGAGTTTCTCCAAAATGAAATAACCCTAAAAGTTTACTAATAATGTGGTGGTATAATTACCAATAATGAATGATGACACAGAAAGAAACATTTCTAAACTGTTAAAAATAAAAAAATCAATTTTTGGTCAACCATGCCACAGATGGAACTATCTTTTTATCCTCTCTACAGAAAATGTTACCAAATTTTATCATATAATGAAGCTATATAGAAATTTGCAGGAAAAAAGCTCTTATACAGGCACATCTAGTTTAAAAAGTTTGTTACTTTCCTAGGTATTTTGACATTTGTGGAATTTATCAACTTAAAAATTATCTTTAGGCCAGGTTCAGTGGCTCAGACTGTAATCCCAGCACTTTGGGAGGCTTAGGCGAGTGAATTGCCTGAGCCTGCGGGTTCAAAACCAGCCCGGGCAACTTGGCGTGACCTCATCTCTATAAGAAATAAAAAATTAACCGGATGTGGTAGTGCGTGCCTGTAGTTCCAACTACTTGGAAGGCTGAGGTGGAAGGATCGCCAGAGCCCAGCAGGTCGATGCTGGGATGGCCATGAGTGTGCCACAGAATTCCAGCCTGGGCGACAGAGTGAGACTCCAACTCAAAAAAAAATTGTCTTTAATATATTTTGCTTTAATTTGCTTTGATATATTTTAATTCCAAGTAAACATTCGTCTTCTTAGCTAATATTGCATTTATAATTATATAGTCTTTGTCTTTAAGAGGGCTCCCTCAAATTATATAACTTTCATACTCCCCAAAGCCTGGATCTGCCCCCTGATCAGGAGACCATAAGAAGTAGATCATTCGAATGCCCCGGTCACAGTAAGTTCTTGGACAAATGGTCTGCAGGTTCGAAGAAGCTTCAGCCATTCTATGCAAGGGGTTTTCAAGAGTCAGCCTCATTTAGGGTATTTTGTGTGGCAGAAGCTTCATCTTCTTAAACCTTCCAACTGCCAATAAATAACACACTGGGCTGAGTCAGGTGGTCCGTCCCAAATCCACACCAGGCAGGAAGTACTAGCACCTCCTCCCTGCATGCTGTGGACCAGCCCTTCATCCTTATGTTGACAGCACCACCAGAGGATGAAACACGAGAAGGAGTTCTAATTGGTTTCATGGTCTCCTGGGTCAGCAAGGACAAACACAGCCCTGTCTTGACTGATTTTGAGGTCTGAGATAGAACTTGTCACATTCCTTTTTTGTCAAGTTGCATAGAAAATTAACCAGGGGCAATCAGTGGAAGAAACTTGGTATCCCTGGGCTAATCAAGACCACCACAGTGGAGGCCGTTTCAGGGATTCTCCTAAGGGTGCCTGGTTTTTTTTCTTCTTTTTCTTTTTCTTTTTCTTTTTTAAAACGTGAAGCTACCTGGCACAGTTTCAACTCTCT